TGTATATCCCTTTTAATTATTAAGACATCAGCTGGTTTCTTTTGTATGTCCAGTGTAACATTTTTCCCTGTCATTCTTGTAGCCTGTCAGTTTTAAATCCACTTTCAAGTCAGTCTCAGTTTTGTCAGGTAGAATGTGTTCCTCTTCCATAAGTTCTTTTAAACACAGTCTATATAGATATAGAGGCAGACACTATTAATATTAACTTCTGGGTCCATTGTTCAAAAATATCCTTCAATATATCCAATGTTGAAATATTATCATTCTGTAATTGTAAGCTGAGTTTGAGTGTTCTTCTCCTTTAGTTATAATCTTTAGTTCCGTCTAGTGTCCTCAAAGTCTTATTACTTTCTTTTTTTTAAATTCAAACCAAGAGTATTTTTCCATGGAAAGGATTCTTTATAATTAATTCCAAAATCTTAATTCAAATTTATCTGGACCCTTAGTCTGTTTGAGACTTTCTAAAATTAAAGTTTTAATCACCCTTTTGATGTTTATTCCTCTCCTCCCTATTTTTTTTTAAGTTCTTAAACTTGTAGTTAAAACTTCTTTCGCTAAGGATTGAAGGAAACTCACTCAGTGCTTTCAGACTTCTTGATCCAAACATTCCTAATAGCAGAAAAGCAGTTAACAAGTGATTAGAAAAGAAAGTATGCGAACTTAGTGTCCTTTCAAAGATGCCAACTGCAGTTTGAGCAAGATGGCTATTCCTTCATCTCCCAGACCTCTAAACCCACTGGAGTCCACTGACTTGTGGTCTCCTCATGAGGAGCAGCTGTCTGGAGCGCTTGTGGGCAATCTCAAGTCCTATCAGCCTCCCATACCATTACAACACCTCTCCTTGTCCAGAGAGGAATTATCAGAGCCGATCTACTCACTGGGTCTTCATTCCGCCATGGTCGTCAGCTCTGCTTTTTGTGGAGCTGTCTTCAGTCTGCCATTTCTTCCCTGGAAGTCCAAGGAATAACCCACCTAGGATGATGGCCTTGCCCATGCTGGCTGAGATGCTGGGAGCTGTAATCTGGATTGTATTTTCTAACTAAAGATTAGCTCCCTTTAATGTTTTAATAAAGAACAATACAAACCATTCTATGAATGTTCTCTCCCACTCGTCTTTAGGAAGTTTCTCAGCTTCCCCCTCCCATTTACTAAAAGCCTTCTGCTTCAATTAAGATCATCATTTGTGAAATATTTTGGAATAGTAGCCAACATATATGAGTCCATCATAATTAGGTAAGTCTTGAATCTCAATGGAGTTAAGGTCCAGTTGAAATCAACAGCAATTCTGATGACTCCACAAAAGTGTATTAGTTTTGCTGAAAATGTATAGAGCTGTATCTGGAACTGAAACTGCAGTAATCTTGTTCTACCGATCTAAAGGGAATTTTAATACGTTTGTGTAGTTTTAATGGGACTGTATATATAGAGTCTGATATGTTCCCTTCTCTTGAATGTTTACAGCTAAAGTATCTGGCTCTTTATTGTTCACATTACTGAGGCAAGACCATCTTAAGTTACTCATTCATCCAGCTGCATATAATCAGATAACCTGTAAATATTTATGCATTTATATGGATTGTATATGCTCTAAAAACTTATGAGAATTAGATGGTTAAAAGGCTTAATAAATGAGAGAACAAATACAATAACTATTAGTTTTTATTTTCACCTCTCCTATACATTATGATTGGCAGATTTCAAAAACTCTGAACTCAGAAAAAGGAGTTTTCTTCAAGCTCAGCTCAATTCCTGGTGACATCATGGACATTTCTGCAGTTTTCTTGGCAACAATACAGAAATCATTCGCTATTGCCTTTGCTTGTTATGGTTTTCCTATTTGGTTTGAACTACAGGCTGACAAAGGTGCTGCCTAATGAAACTGAAAGAAAAATTTGAGTTGAATTGCTTGAGGTAATGGGGCCATTTGGGAAGAGCTAGCTAGCCTTTGGATCTTGAACTGTTCAGAGAAAAGTAGAGCTTTATGAGAGATTGGGACAACTGCCTAGGCTAGTCATGTCTTCTGATGGCTACTGACCTACTTGTCTTTGGATCTTCAAAGTGTTGCTTTTATGCCAATTACAGCTTGCCTTTCTTCTGAGGACAATAAATAACCAAAATGCTATGGCTAACAGTTACACTTCGGAAGCTCTACCAGCATAATACGTTAACAGGGTGGAATCTGAAAAATCTAGGCATCAACAAAAGGCAAAGAAATTACTTCAATTTGGTTTTCATTTAAATGCACTACTTTAATAATAAAACTTCAAGATTCCTTGGTGATGCCGCAAAATCTGACTTCAACTCTCCATCATCTCCCACCAGCACAGCGTTGTAGCTCAAAATGCTGGAAGATACCAGATTGAGAAAGATTGGTCTTCAGGAAGACAATGTGGGACCACAAAGAATACTTGATGGTGTAAGTTTTAGACTTCTCCCTTGGGCTTAAAGTCAAAATCTGAATCTGTAGCCTTTCTATGTACAAATGGAGTTCTGAGGCTAGACATTGTGTGGCTGAAGGAAAGTTCTGGCTAGGGAACATGCAGATTCATTTGCTGGGAGAAATTGTTTGCTAATTTTTGAAGAGAGTGTTAGTGACACTGATATAGGGTTCCCTTACTCTGTACAAGCTGTAATGAATATCTGCTGATATTTTCTTCATTATTTTTTAAAAGAATGTTTAGCATCACAAACAATTGCTACCTCTTTGTTAGCTGATTATGCTGCTGATATTGAGAGGGAGGGAGAGAATGAGAGAGAGAGAGAAAAAAAATAAATTATTATATATGCCTAAAAGAACAAAAAGCTGAATCACAAAAGCAAGCAGTTGTGGTTTGGGAGAACTGGAGTTATCTTAAGTAAAAAAAAATAAAAAAAAATTGGATGCATTACGCCCCTTCCAAAAACTCAATGCTGGCTGGGTGTACTGGAAGTTATCATCGTAGCACACCTTGAGAGTTTCTGATGCCATCAATTTGCCCTCCATGTATTGTTGAAGGCTTTCATGGCCGGAATACGATGGCTGGTGTGGGTCTCCCGGGCTGTGTGGCCGTGTTCTGGAAGTTTTGTTTCCTAACGTTTCGCCAGCATCTGGTGAGGTGGCTCTATTATTAACATCCCTTCGCCTATTATTTTCTTTTTCTGTTTTAGTTCTGTTTTTATATTTTTTAAGGTTTTTAATAATTACTATATAATGGTTCTATGTAATGATTGTTTATATATTTATTGTTTTTGGGGATTGTTGTATGCTACCCAGAGTCACTTTTTGTGAGACGGGTGGCCATATAAATTCAATAAATAAATAAATAGTCAGTACTCTCTGGGGCTATAAACTTGAACTTGCTGGTCTAAGTCTCATGGCATCACTGAACACAGCACCTATGTCATAACTCTTTGTTTTATTTTACACAAGACATTTTTAAGTGCTTGGCATTTACAACAGTAGAACCAAAGCAGAACTTTAGTGGGAGAGGAAGACAATGAATCAGGAGGGAAGCAACACAACAAGAGGTAGGGAATAGGGCAACTCAGCTGTAAAATTGGAAAGGCCTGATGCCAAAGGAAGGTCTCTAGTAAAAAGCTTTGGGTTTGATGGAAACATTTGGAAGGGTAAGAACATGGTATGAGCACTCTCACAAAAAAGGCTGCTGTGTGGGGCTTGACCATTCACCAAATGGCTGCTACCTGTGATCTCCTTTAGCTCTCCTCCCTAACACATGGGCTTCCTTTATCCTTTGGGGCAGGTGGGAACTTACAAACAAAGCATCTTTTCACAGGCACCCATCGTTTTTATTTATGGAAGCGTACAGGTCTCATATGGGACCAGGGCCATTCTTGGAAGTAAAGATGATGCTAGAGGTTGATAGTTTGAGTTGAAACACGCATGCTTTCCATCGTGTAATTTTTTTTAAAGTAAAATGCCAGACAGAGCAAGAAGGCACATCAAGGAAAGTATCTGTATGCATACTGGCATCCCTGAGTGACAGATTCTCCAATCTATACCATAGAAAGATAGAAGAAAACTCTGGAAATAAAATATGTGTGTATGTATTAAACATATTAGGGCCTACAAGCACAGCATTTAATTACATTGTTTATCTACACGAAGGCCAATCACTGAACACAATGCTATTGCTGATTTTTATTTTTTTTTAAAGGCTAAACCTGTAACAAGAACTTGGATTTGTCTTGACTTGAAGCTTAATAGTCATTTCTTTTTTGAGATACATCCATGAGTTTCCTAACAACCACATGCATCTTGGGGACAGTAAATTTGTGTGTGGTTGAATAGCTTAA